TCAAAACGTTATTTTAGGATACTTGGCGGTCTTTTTTCATATTTTTTATAAGACAAAGACTGAAAAGTGAAAGCCAAAGTAACCCTTATGTGTTAAGTCACAGGATATCGATTTTTCAGTTGAGTATCCTGAACAAATGGAGATTTAGTCAAGGTTATACAAAATTATATTTAAACTGATGTGCACCCTACACCACTGCCAACTTGTCTGTGTCTACTCATGATTGGTATTTTCCTGGCAATGTGGCAAAGGCTGAGAGCTTGCATCTAGTTAGAAAGAGACCTGACCTATGGTCAGGAAACCTTAGTTCTAGTTCCATTTCTGCTATTAATTGGCCATATGGTCATGATGCTGGGGTGGCTCAGTTGGTTAAGCGTCTGCCTTCGGCTCAGGTCATGATCCCAGGGTCCTGGGATCGAGTCCCACATCGGGCTCCCTGCTCGGTGGGGAGCCTGCTTCTCCCTCTCCCTCTGCTCCTCCCCCTGCTTGTGAACATGCTCTCTCGCTCTCAAATAAATAAATCAAATCTTTTTTTTTTTTTTTTTAAATCCAAATCCCTTGCCCTGGTTGGCAGAGCTGACTTGATTTGACAGCATTATCTTCTGCCATTCTCCCCATACCACTTCTTTGGTTCCTCAGCCTGCCTTCTTTGCTTCTTGCCCTGGAGCCTTTTTCTGCCTATTCCCTTCACCTGATAGCTTTCCTCTGATACCTCCAAAAGAACCTCCACAGGCTAGCCTCCTTCTTGTCATTGCATCTTAGTTCAAATGTTGCTTCCTCCAAGAAGCCAGCCCAGATCATCTGTGATAAAGCAGCTACCCACTCTCGTTCACACCCCTATTTTAACCCTCTCCATAGCAGTTATTTGTTCTTCTAACACTACTTTTAAACTTCATGAGAGGCAATCTATCTGACATTGAAAACTATTAAATTGCTAGCAAGTGTTAATGGAGTCCAACACATAATTGGTGCTCAATTAAGTTAAATGAAGGATTTGCCTATTTTAAACTCTGTGAGTGTGCATGAGGGTGTGTGTGTGTGTGCTTATCTAACATTTTTGCTTTTATCTTTATATCTTTACCTGATTCAACTGGCCAAACTATTCAATTATTTTGGTTACAGTTTCGGAGTTTTATTTATTTTTTTTTAAAAGATTTTATTTATTTATTTGACAGAGAGAGACACAGTGAGAGAGGGAACACAAGCAGGGGGAGTGGGAGAGGGAGAAGCAGGCTTCCCGCTGAGCAGGGAGCCCAATGTGGGGCTTGATCCTAGGACCCTGGGACCATGACCTGAACTGAAGGCAGACGCTTAACGATTTAGCCACCCAGGCGCCCCCAGTTTCAGAGTTTTAAAAAGGTGGTGATTGCTAAGATAACTTTTTACTAATCAATTTAATTTTATTTATTTTTTATTTTTATTTTTTTTAAAGATTTTATTTATTTATTTGAGAGAGAGGGAATGAGAGATAGAGAGCATGAGAGGGAAGAGGGTCAGAGGGAGAAGCAGACTCCCCGCTGAGCAGGGAGCCCGATGCGGGACTCGATCCTGGGACTCCAGGATCATGACCTGAGCCGAAGGCAGTCGCTTAACCAACTGAGCCACCCAGGCGCCCCTAATCAATTTAATTTTAGAATATAGAATAGAAACTTAAGAAGTCATATTGCTTAGCTTTTTTTTTTTTTTAAAGATTTTATTTATTTGACAGAGAGAGACACAGCAAGAGAGGGAACAGAAGCAGCAGGAGTAGGAGAGAGAGAAGCAGGCTTCCCGCTGAGCAGGGAGCCCGATGTGGGGCTTGATCCCAGGACCCTGGGATCATGACCTGAGCCGAAGGCAGACACTTAACGACTGAGACACCCAGGGGCCCCTGCTTAGCTTTTTTACAGATGTGGAAGCTCAGGCCCAGGCAGGTTATGTCTAGGACCATATTACCAATTTTATTTTTAAGATTTTTATTTATTTGACAGAGAGAGAGAGCACAAGCAGGGGGAGCAGCAGGCAAAGGGAGAAGCAGGCTCCCCACTGAGCAGGGAGCCCGATGTGGGGCTCAATCCCAGGACACTGGGATCATGACTTGAGCCAAAGGCAGACGCTTAACTGATTAAGCCACCCAGGCATCTCTCAAAGTTGTTTTCTAAAAAGACTTCTGGGACGCCTGGGTGGCTCAGTCAGTTAAGCATCTGCCTTTGGCTCAGGTCATAACCCCAGGGTCCTGGGATTGAGCCCCACGTTGGGCTCCCTGCTCAGTGGGGAGCCTGCTTCTCCCTCTCCCCTCTGCTCATGCTCTTTCTTGCTCTCCCAAATAAATAAATCAAATCTTAAAAAAATAAAAAAAGAATTGTCTGTGTGGTATATCTACACACACACACACGTAAATAAAGTTGGAAACAGAAATAAATATGTATGTATATACATTCATGAGTAAGTATACACACATTTGTTTCCAGGCCTATTTTGGGTTCTTTAGATTTATTACCTCACTGGATCTTTTTATTTTACCTTTTTTAAGATTTATTTATTTTAGAGGGAGAGAGAGAGTGTGCGAGCGAGCTTGCGTGTGTGTGTGTGTGTGTGTGCACGCGTGCGTGCGCGCGCAAGTCAGGGGAGGAGCAGAGGGGGACGATGGGGAGGGAGAGGGACAAGCAGACTCCGCACTGGGCCCTGACATGGGGCTCAATCTCATGACCCTGAGATCTTATTTTATAACATGATTTTTTTAAAGATTTTATTTATTTTTTGACAGAGACAGACACAGTGAGAGAGGGAACACAAGCAGGGGCAGAGGGAGAAGCAGACTTCCCACTGAGCAGGGAGCCCGATGCGGGGCCCGATGTCAGGACCCTGGGACCATGACCTGAGCCGAAGACAGACGCTTAACGACTGAGCCACCCAGGCACCTCTCATGACCCTGAGATCTTGACCTGAGCTGAAACCAAGAGTCAGACACTTAACCAACTGAGCCACCCAGGCACCCCTCACTGAATCTTTACAACAACATTTTGAGAGAAAGACTGTTACTATCCCATCTCAGAGGTGAGAAGACTGCGAGCATAAGTAATTGTCTGGGGCTATAGAGCTAGTGCATGGCAGAGCTGAAACAGCAACCTCTGTAGGCTGGTTCCAGTGCCTGAGGTCTTAACCAGGAAGCTATACTCTTACAAAGCAAAGGGAGTATATCTAAGCAGGACACCCCTCTCCCCAAAGAACAACATGAAGGAGATAAAAGTAAATAAGCAGGAAACTGGCAGGAGTAGGGTAGCCTTATGTGTTGTGACCATCTCCTAATTAGGTTTTAGAAGTTAGGTTCTACTATGAAATCACTATAGAACACATGTGGTTTTATTTTTCCATTAAGAGAGCTGGAGATCATTTTTTCTTCATAGTTACAACTATTCTTCTCATGCTGGCCATCAAAAGGAATCATAACTGGAGTGGTGGGGGGTGGGAGGGATGGGGTGCCTGGGTGATAGACATTGGGGAGGGTATGTGCTATGGTGAGTGCTGTGAATTGTGCAAGACTGGTGAATCACAGACCTGTACCTCTGAAACAAATAATACATCATATGTTAAAAAAAAAAAAAAAAAGATAGCAGGAAGGGAAAAATGAAGGGGGGGAATCGGAGGGGGAGATGAACCATGACAGACTATGGACTCTGAGAAACAAACTGAGGGTTCTAGAGGGGTGGGGGGTAGGGGGATGGGTTAGCCTGGTGATGGGTATTAAAGAGGGCACGTTCTGCATGGAGCACTGGGTGTTATGCACAAACAATGAATCATGGAACAGTACATCAAAAACTTATGATGTAATGTATGGTGATTAACATAATAAAACAAAAAAAAGGAATCATAATATTCTTTGAGAGAAACTATATTTTGTCTAGCAAGGAATAAAAGCATTGGAGATATAAATATATAAATTGATTCAGATAACAAAAACTAACATTTACTGAAACTTACTATGAGCCAAGTACTTCTTGAAACTTTTTATAGTAATGGACTAACTCATTTAATTCTCATAACAATCCTATAAGATAGAGAACGATTTTTATCTCTGTTTCAGAGATGGAGAAATTGAGGCACAGAGAAGTTACAAAAATTGCCTAAAGTCACACAGTTCAAGCAGTAAAGCCAGGATGTGTAACCACTATAGTAAGCTGCCACTCTTAAGAGCTATGATTTTCGGGGCGCCTGGGTGGCTCAGTCAGTTAAGCGTCTGCCTTCGGCTCAGGTCATGATCCCAGGATCCTGGGATCGAGCCCTGCATTGGGCTCCTTGCTCCACGGGAAGCCTGCTTTTCCCTCTCCCGCTCCCCCTGCTTGTGTTCTCTCTCTCGCTGTGTCTCTGTCAAATAAATAAATAAGATCTTAAAAAAAAAAAGCAATGCTTTTCAGTTGCAAGTATCTGACAAATCAAATAAACATCAATAATTAATATTAAGAAAGCAATAAACCATAAAAGGGAAGTGTTCTAATGTTATAACATCGACTATAAGACTACATATTTTAAGAGCTAAGTGTTGTGCCTAAAATGTTTAAAAGAAAAAAGCCTTTGTCTTCCTCATTCAATAAATCTATTTTAGATATCTCGATGCTTTCTAACGATTTCTAAGACCAGTAATTGCAACTGGTAATTCTCAGATTTGCATTTACTTCAAATTAAACCTACCTGACAGCAGTTTTTCTGCCAAGTAACTTGTCATTATTTGCAGATTTTTTTTGGTCTGTGTCTGTGGGCAGCAGGTATATAAGGAGATTTTAAAAACTGAACAAAGAACTTATAAAATAATTAAGCTACTTTAAAACTCTTCCCAGTTGTATTTTCCCTTTGAATTTAATGCTAGGAAAAAAATAATAGTTTAAAAGTAAAATAAGCAAGATTATAAAAAATGTTTTCCTCAGAATACATAAGCAAAAAATACACATAGCCATAATTATTTGAGCAATATAAGTGAAAGCCATAAATATTTGACAGTTATCATCAAATGCTAGCATATATACCTCATGTCTTGGATAAGAGAGACCCTGAGTGTTGGCAACATAACTCCTGAGTCAGATTTTCTTCTTTCTGGTCCAAGGGCAACTATGTAAAAAAATATCAGCAAAGTATTAGAAAAATAATAGCAAGGACAAAAAAAAAAAATCTACACGGTTCACATTCTATAAATAAATATTTTCAAAATTACTTTGATAAGAACTAAAGAAAACAGAAAAGCTCATTTTTTCCCCCCTGAATGATGTCACTTTATTAATACAGTAAAACAGCTATTTTCTTTCTAATTAATGTGGGGCTGCATTTGGAAATTTAAAATGAATCATAAAAGCCCAGTTAGCAAATAATGCAATGTGTGCAAATTTTGGCCATGAGGACGAGTCATTTTCTAAACTTATTCATTCTAATAGCTCTGGATAACTACAAGAAAGCAATGTCTATAAATTAAGCTACTAAGTATGTGAATTATCTCTGGGTTCATAAATTACAATCACATAATTTCTTTATACTGTGAAAGAGTGTTTAAAATGGAAAATCTAAGAGTCTGGGCTCTCTAGTCTGGTAAGTTTCTACTTCAAAGTTCAGAATCCAAAGTACTGTATATCATGCAAAGTGAGTAATCTAAATGGACATTTAGAAGTATAATGTCTGTGAGTCATTCTCTTTGGAGCTTGAATGGTTAACATTTATAGAAGAAGGAAAGATTGTTCCCTTATATAGCAAGAGCTAAGCAATCAATTGTTGGCTAATGTATTGCAGTTGGGACTGCTCTATTTCACTTTAAGTGGGATGCTGTGGAGTTCTGTGCCCTTTCTTTATCTCCATTTTTCTATCTGTAAATGAAAACTAAATTGTAACATCACACTTTGCAAATACTTGATAACATGAGAATTTATGGTTTTTTTTTGGGTTTTACTGTATATTAAACCTACATTTTCTCAGTTTTTAGATCCATTCTACTTTGGAGAGGTGCAGTGCAGAAACACACAGATACATGTGAAGCTGGCCCGAAACATTCTGTTGTCTTAGGGTCTGCATGTTTCGGCACCTGGTGAAAGCGGCTAGGCTGATACTTGGCAGGTATAAATGAGCACTGCCAGGACAAAGAGACTATGGCCAGGCCAACCAAAAGGTAGTTCTTTTGAGGGCCTTCCACACCAGGTGGGTGATAAATAGGCCATTTGTCATGGCTGTTTCAGATAGAGTTTTCAATGGGTCACTAAAAACACTGCTTTATCTTGATACCCAAGAGGTTAACAGACACCAAGGAAACTGTTCCAGTGACTTGCAGGGAATGTGCTGTTAGTCTTCTTGTCTGAGACTCTCACCATTTAAGTATGTTGTTAATGAAAGCACACCTCTCTTTTTGGGGAGAAAGTAAAAAGTTCAGAGAACACGTCTACACTCCAGATGATTAGATATCATGAAAGAGGGCCACACTAGTGGTAAGAAATAGGTTGAAAAGAGAAAAAGAAAAAGATCATGAGGTAAGAGAAAGCAACTGAAACCATAATCAGCAACTTGGCTAGAGGGAGACATGACAACAAAAAGGAATCATGCCTCTGGAAGCAGAGTGCAGGCAAGAGGCTTAATAAAGAGAAGCCTGACATTTAAAGAGCAGAGGCATCCACCAATAATAGCATTCACAGCCCTAAGCATTTTTTGGGCATTCTATTTTGGAACCCTACTTTCTCCACTCTTCCCTGATCAGTGTTTCTTAAACATATGATGTACTTTATAAAACATCTGTTTTTAAACATTTTAAAAAAGATTTTATTTATTTATTTGACAGAGAGAGAAAGCACAAGCAGGGGGAGCAGCAGAGGGAGAAGCAGACTTCCCGCGGAGCAGGGAGCCCAATGTGGGGCTCGATCCCAGGACCGTGGATCATGACCTGAGATGAAGGCAGGCGCTTAATGACTGAGCCACCCAGGTGCCCCCAAATGATGAAAAAAATCTTTGGCTCACCCTTTAACACTTCTGTATCTTTCTCCTTGTTTACAGCCTATTTAGCATTTTAGATTGAGAGCACTCTAGCTTAATAGTTAAGAACATGGTTTTCTCAAACCCTACAGAGAACTTAACAGCTCACTGACTTTGGATGAGTAACTTAACCTCTCCATGGTCTGTTTTCTCATCTGCAAATTGGGGTCAGTAGCAATACCTACCTTATTCAAATAGATGTAAAGCACTTAGAATACTGCCTGGCTCAAAGTTAAGTTCTCAATAAATAAAATAAAATGAAACCTAGCTTTAATTTTGCCTCTTTGTGGAATCTTTCCTGAATATTCTCTCTTCCTAAGGTACACTGTTAGATGTCGTTCCCTCTAACAGGACCAGTGAAACTGAACACCTAATATAAACTTAGCATAATTTAACATTTCTATTACTGTTAAACTATATGCCTCTTGAGGCTCAGTCATATCCTTTTCTTAGAAAACCTACAGGGCCTGGTGGAGGTCCCATACCACATACATGCTCAACAAATACTCATGGAAGACGATGAGACTATTTAGGGCCAGATGGAGGAGCCTTAAATGACAAATTAGAAATCTGTACAACTCCTAGGATAGCAGGAAGGATTCTGAAAAGAATGTTATGCTCCTGAGTGCTTTTTTAGTTAGTTAACTACAGTGACAGTACTACAGTTTAAGAGAAATAAGGGTGATGAGGTAGAAGTTATTTCACAGGCCAGCTTATGGATGAACTAAGACCATGGCAGCCAGGGAGAACAAAGAGGAGAAATATGCAGTGGAAAAAAACACAGAACTTAATGACTTGATGTAGAAAGTGAGCAAGACCCAAGAGTCAAGAACAATATTAAGTATGAATATAAAATGATTTAATAAAAATTATCTCATTGAATTATTACTTTCCTTTGGATTTGTTAATCTTAATGTTGCAAATGAAGAAACTGAGGCTCAAAGAGGTCAAGAAACTCGCCCAATTGTACATATTCATCAAAAGGGGCAGAGTATTCTGATGTCATGTCCACTGGGCTTTCTGTTATATTCCAGATGACTTTCTAGCTTCTAAGCTTGATTGAGAGAAGAGTACTGTTGCCATTAAATAATGTGGAGAGAAGGGAGAAAGCCTAACTGGGACAGAGGGAGAGGTGCTGAGATCATTAGTTTGTTTTCAGATGTGCTGAGTTTGAGGTCCCACTGGGCCATCAAGGATGGATGTGTAGGACCCAGGGCTGGAGAAAGAGATTTGTGAATAATCTGTTAACCAGATAGTTGGAGGGTGACATGGGAGGTAGGCAATAGTAGTTATATTATGGTTTGAATTATGTCCCCCAAGAAGATGCAGAAGTTCCATCTCCCAGGACCTGTGAATGTGACCTTATTCAGAAATAGGGTCTTGGTAGATGACCAAGTTAAGATGAGGTCATTAGGGTGTGTCTTAATCCAATGTGACTGGTGGATGACATTATAAAAGGGAAATTTGGATACAAAGACAGACAGGAGTAGAGAAAAGATGAAGACACATGGAATATGCCATTTAAAGGTCAAGAAATTTCTGAGATGACCAGAAGCTAGGAGGGAAGAGTGGGACAGATTCTCCTTCACAAGCCACCCCTGCTGACACCTTGACTGTGGACTTCTAGCTTCCAGAACCATGAGACAGTTGTTGTGTAAGCCACCCAGTCTGTGGTACTTCATTACAGCAGCCCCAGGAAACCAATACAGTAATTTATTAGTGACTTTTGGAGGGAACAGTTCAGAAGCCTGTGAGCAGAAAGCAGTTAATGAGTGAAGCCATACTTTTCACCTAGAGAGCTAAACTCTAAGGTCTCCATGAAGTCTACTCCAGAAGAGAAACTTATACACGATTTAAATGTATACATATATTCCTATTTCTTATTTTAATACACTCAAATGTTAACAGGCCACTTTCTCCTTCAACATAAACACTTGTGGATTTAATATTTAGCCACAGGAATTCTTTTTGTATATCTGCCTGAATCAAAGCTGCTACATGGGCAGGAAGTCTGCAGAGCACAGAGACTGTACGCATTGTTTTTATACCATCTACAGTCTGCAGGCAAGTAAGTAAAGAAAAACCTTTTTTAAAGTGAGTTCTATGCCTAATGTGGGGCTTGAACTCAGGACCCCAAGAGCAAGAGCTGCATGCTCTACTGATTGCTAGGCACCCCAATAGCAAAAAATTGTTTTAAGATTTTATTTGAGAGAGACAAAGAGAGCACACAAGCGAGCATATGGGGGGGAGGAGCAGAGGGAGAAGCAGGCTTCCCGCGGAGCAGGGAGCCCGATGTGGGACTCGATCCCAGGACCCCAGGATCACGACCTGAGCTGAAGGCAGACGCTTAACTGACTGAGCCACCCAGGTGCCCCTCTAACAGAAAAATTTTGAAGAAGATAATTGAAGAGTCTCTCAAAATTCTAAGGCTAGACCCAGAATAACCATTTAAAAGCAGTATTTCCACCCCCTCCTGCATCCTACTCCACTCCTTGCCGACTGATTTAAAAATCCATTTAAAGCTTAGTGGAACCTTGTCCAAAGATGCAAGGTTTAAGAACACCACCTATGTTTAAGCTGGCCAACATTTTTAAAGGCAGAAACTTTTGGGTAATATGTCAAGAACAGTCTTCTTTCTAGGGTCAATTGCATTCTGAGATCCTGTCTCTGCAATAGGACTTCGAACTAGCCTACTAGGTGCGGTGACTTGGTCAAAGTTAAGACAGTCTGAAAGACATGGAGGAAACTTAAATGCATATTACTAAGTGAAAGAAGCCAATCTGGAAAGGCTACATACTACATGACTCTTAACTATATGACATTCTGGAAACGGCAAACTATGGATATAGTAAAAAGGCCAGTAGTCAGGCGCCTGGGTGGCCCAGTTGGTTAAGCGACTGCCTTCGGCTCAGGTCATGATCCTGGAGTCCCGGGATCGAGTCCCACATCGGGCTCCCTGCTCAGCGGGGAGTCTGCTTCTCCTTCTGACCCTAACCCCTCTCATGTGCTCTCTCTCATTCTCTCTCAAATAAATAAATAAAATCTTAAAAAAAAAAAAAGGCCAGTAGTTGCCAGCGATTAGGGGAAAGAGACGGATAAGTAAGTGGAGCACAGAGAATATTATTAGGGTGGTAACACTATCTGATGCTATAATGGTCAATCCATGTCACTATACATTTGTTTAAACCCACAGAAGGTACAACCAAGAGTGAACCCTAATGTAAACTATGGACTCTGGGTAATGATGTGTCAACGTAGGTTCATCAACTATAAGAAATGTACCACTCTGGTAGGGGATGCTGATAATGAGGGAGACTATGCATATGTGGGGGTGGAGAGTATATGGGAAATCTCTGTATTGCTGCTCAATATTGCCATGAACCTAAAACTGCTCTAAAAAATAGAATCTATTTAAAAAAATTAAGATAATCTACCCTATGACCTTCTTGTTAAGACAGACTTTTTCCATTCTTCTACAACCTTTAAAATATCTCTGACTCCTGTTTTGTGTTGCTTTGGAAAGAATAGTAATGATCCATCATAGAGACTCATCCTGGCTCAATGCTAGTAACAGCAGTGTTCAAACATACTGTGAATTTCTAAGTACACAGAGGATCTCTCCTTGTTATGAAAATGCAGACTGTTTACTGCCATTAATTAGGATGCTTAACAGTTGGTAAACAGAAGTATTTTTTTGGGGAAAAAAAAAAACCCACCCAGATTTAAAAGCAGAAAAGTCAATAAACTGCTAATTTCTATATAATTAGAACACACTGCTTCTCAATAATGAAATATTTTTAAGCTAATGTTTTTATATATATTTCACACTGTCATATTTTAAAATTGTGGGCTGAAGTATCAGAAGTGTTAGAGCATTATTTATAGTAAAATCCACCCTTCCTAACAGACAGTAAATTTGATTTCAAAAGCTACATGGCTTACATTAATCCTACTTAGGATCAGTAAAATATTTAGCCTATGTTCATACTTTGTGTGTGTGTTCACTGTATGAGGCTTTGCCACATTTGATACTTCTTAGCCTTGACTTCTGAGTTTTGCTGGTCCCCCTGACTAATAAAGCAGCTGAGTCTCTGACTGCCACCTCAACTACCCAACACTTGACCAGACAGCTGGACATGCTTGCATGCCACATTTGGCAAAAGGGCCAAATATCCCCAATCTCCCTGCCTTACTTAATCGAGCTCGATTTTCCAACGTTTCATCCTACAAATGGCTATTTCTTCCTAGAAATTTATTTTTTCTAATTAGGGTAAACTATCTGGGTTATGGTCTTATGATCTGAACAGCTAAATTTTCTATGAACACAGCTAAGTGTTAGAGATAGTTTCAGGGCAAACACCAATGCATTTTTACTTTTTTCAACAGAAAAAGGAGCAAAGGAGATGGATACTAGAGAATGCTTTTAAACTTGATCTTAATCTTTAGAAATATAGTTACATCTTGGGACATGAGAACTTTGACATTCTATTTAGTGGAGCTTTTGGTTAATGCACTATCAAATTCATATTCCTAGCTGTCTCAGTAAATACCTTTAAAAACTAGGTTTCCAAATCAAAAACTAATGATGTAATGTATGGTGATTAACATAACAATAAAAATTATTAAAAACAAATAAACAAACAAAAAACTAGGTTTCCAAGAATAAACACCACATTTAGGGTAGTACTGCAATGAGGGGAATGGAAGTAGGGTATGCTTCAATCATATTTGCAATGCTTCCTTAGCTGGTGGTTGGCTTATGAGTTTTTAAAAAAATTTCTGAATGTCTAAAATCCGTAATTTTAGAAAAGGTTCCCAAATTGCTGATTCAGTATAAAACATTTTATATCTACTAACTTTCTACCATTACTACTACTTTTTGTGAAATAGATGGTTATTTTACATAAAGAAAAATACATATAAGGCAAAACATCTAGGAACCCTACATAACTCTAATTAGCTAAAGTATAATAACACTTCTAACACGTGGTGTCTTGCTTTAAATTGAAAAATCTGACTCATGAAGACTTTTGAGACATATATAGATTTTTTTTTCTGGGAGAGATTATTAATGATGGTTATAAAGCTTAAGGAAAAAAAAACCAGTATGCACTACACCCTAACAGTGGCCAGAGTAAGGTATACTTGTATGATCCTTTATAATTCATTAGGGGTTTCCACGTTATCTTACTTAATCAACATTATAGTTTTACATAGCTTAACATTATTTTCCCTGTCTTATGGATGAGGAAGCTGAAGATCAGAAAGGTCAAGTGACCAAGATCTTTTCCCAGATCTCACAGCTAGTAAGTAATTTTGCTTCTTCTACTTTATCCCACTACTGGCAAGGTGGGTAAGTTTCAGCCTGAGAGAGAGGTAAAGACAAAGCCATATGGTATTGATTCTTCACATAGTCTAATGCTGCCAGTTCTGCAGAAACAAACCAATGAACTCTCACCTGGCGATTCTGCAAGGTGCTCTTGCTTCTCTTCTCTGTCCTGAAACTGAATTAAATGTGACCACAAAGCTGACTTCCCCTGAAATTACAAGGTATAAAAAAGTTTTTCATTTTATAAGAAATAATCAAAAAATAATTTCTCATCAAAACCATTCACATCTAAATGGTCATTTTGAAGTTTGGAGATATCCATTCCAGCTGTGTGATATTCTGAGCAACTCACTCCATGTGAAATGAGGGTCTTCCGTTGCCTCACCGAAAAGATTAGCAACAGCCCGGGAAGGGCAGCTAAACAAAAGGCCAGAAGTACAGGTGTGGAGACTTCTCACTTCAGTTCAGGTGTTACTTCGTTGTATGTAATTAGGACTGTCTACACTGGCCACACTGGAAACCACAGAATTAAAAGGCTCTAGCAGCAAAGAATGTATTTTTGTACACTTACAGGCAAAATATGTTTGGATGTATGGGATGGCAGCTAGGGAAGACAACTGGAGCCAGAGGAGAAAGGGAAAAGGGGAGGAAGGAAGAATATGTCGACAAGAGGGGGAAAAAAAATCAGAACAGGAGATAAGAGGGACAAAAGCAAAGAAACCATTTGATTTTTTCCACCCTGAATAACTACATGACATAAAAAGGTAAAGAACTGTTAATTCTGGCTAAAAGAGTTTTTTCCTGGACAGTGACGAAAGCAGACACTTAATGGACTCAATGGGATATAACCTCTGCAGTAAACGTGATGTTTTATCCTTTCCTGTTTACCAGGAAAGAGCCCCAAACCACCTCTTAATCATGGGTTTTATTTTCTTTTTCTGGAATTAAAAAGCCGGTGGTGCATTTCTAGTCATCCTGTGACAAAGGAACATATCCTTTAATTTTTCATCTTTTTCTCCTTGTTCATTTTTTTATTCCTTTTTTTTTTTAAATATTTATTTATTTATTAGAGAGAGAGGAAGACAGCGTGGGAGAGAGGGACAAAAGAAGAGGGAGAGAGAAACTCAAGCTGACTCTGTACTGAGCCACAGAGCCTAACGCGGGGCTTGATCTCATGACACTAAGATCATGACCTGAGCCAAAATCAAGAGTTGGAAGCTCAACCGACTGAGCCACCCAAGTGCCCCTCGTTACATTTCTTGACAGGGTTCCTTACCAGCCACATCACCAGGACCTCCTGAGACTATTACCTGCTTGATCTGCAAGCCGTGGCTCCATATCCTTTCCAGTAGGTCACAGAGGCTGGCGATCAAGGTGTTCTCTTCCAAGCCGGTTATGTTTGCTTCTCCATGGCCCAGTTCCACTGCTTCATGTCCCATCTTCTCCACTAACATGCGCTTTGTCTGAAAGCATCATGTGTGGTCACAGGTGTTATCCCCGCAATGAAGCCAAAGACCAACAAGTCAACTACTAGATCAGAGACCTGGGTTCCCTTCATTATTATTATTATTTTTTAAAGATTTTATTTTTAAGTAATCTTTACACCTAACACTCGAACCCTGTACAACCCCAAGATCAAATGTCACACACCATGAACTGAGCAAGCCAGGTGTCCCCTCTTCATTATACTTCTAATTGTAGACTTTTATTACTTTGGGAAAAGTGTCTTAATCTCTTTGGTCAACTAACTGCAGTAATATCACATATGCTTTTGAGTATTTTGTCAGATAAATAGGGGGTCACTGGAAGGAGATTATAATACTATTTTATCTCTCTCTCTCTCTCTCTCTATATATATTTATTTTGCCTCCACACAATACTATTTTATTTTATTATTATTTTTAAAGATTTTATTTATTTATTTGACAGAGAGAGGGAGAACACAAGCAGGGGGAGTGGCAGGGAGAGGGAGAGGAAGAAGCAGGCTCCCTGCAGCGCAGGGGGAGCCCAATGTGGGACTCGATCCCAGTATCCTGGGATCATGACCTGAGCCGAAGGCAGTGGCTTAACCAACTGAGCCACCCAGGCACCCCCCCAAAATACTAAAGTATCCCCATGTAAATACTTATGATTGACAATTTCCAGATTACTAACTTGAGTAACACTGGGGAATTGCACCAGACCCGGAAAACGTACTGTAAGAATCTGAAACCCATCCTGCCACCACAACTAACCCTCCACTGCCCCTGCATCTTGGCATACTGAAGATATCTGCAGTTAGTTTTGATTGCACTTAAGCAAAAAACACAACACAAACAGGCAGCTCTAAATTTTTTCAGAACTCCCTAATTTGTGAGTGAACCGGGCCTCTTTTATCTTGTCTCTGCTCATGAGTATGCACCAGAAAATGGAAGGGAAATGGAAATCAGTTTCAAGTAAGTAATTTACAGCAGTCTTAGCTGCATTTATAAAATGTAAAGAGAGAGAGACTATAGTCCCTTTAGGTGGGGACCTTGTCTCTGATTCAACACTGTATGCTGATGCTGAAAATAGTACATTTATTGAATACACACAGAAGGTACTCAAGAAATGACTGTCAAATAAAAGAATGAAATTACTGGCTAAAATGATGTCCTGAATTTTGTCGATGTGTATTACTACCTTTGATAAACATGGTATCTAAGAAGAGACTAGTGTGTAATATACATAAACCTACAACACAGCTAAGGTCTTCTTCCTTATGGGTATACATACATGTATGGGCATGGACAAGGTTCTATACAAAAAATGTGTTGCTTTTCATATAAAATGACCACATTCCTGCACACTTTTTTATTTTTTCAAGTAGGCTCCACATCCAACATGGGGCTTGAATTCATGACCCTGAGATTAAGAGTCAAATGCTCCAGGTGCCTGGGTGGCTCAGTCAGTTAAGTGTCCAACTCTTGACTTCAGCTCAGGTCATGATCTCAGGGTCATGAAATCGAGCCCCGTGTTGGGCTCTGCGTTCAGTGAGAAGTCTGCTTGAAGATTCTTTCCCTCTGCCCCTCCCCTCACTCTCTCTAAAAAAAACCCAAACCAAACAAACAGAAAAAGCCCAAAGAGTCGCATGCTCTACCAACTCAGGCAGCCAGGTGCCCCACAACTTTTGACTGGCTTAATATCTGTTCATGTTTTAGAGGAAGACAGCAATGGCTGAAAAGGTGAGAAAAACTGTGCAGGGCTCCCACGTCACTGATTCTGTGGGCAACAGAGAACCCATGAAGGTTCATGAGCTCAGTAAAGAGCACATGAGGTTCATGCCCCAGTAAAAGTTGTCTTCTAGCAAAGCTACAGGCTCAAATGGGAATTGAGTGCACACTGTCTCACATCAGTGAGTAACACATACCTTCATTCTACATTCTTTCAATAAGCCTTCTACAAATTTGCAGTTGGTCTGTGCAATCACTGCAGGAGAGAGGTCTGACAGTTTGGGCTGCCTCAGGTTTTTTCCTAAACTTCGTGCCTCTTGCATATATTTCTAAAAATTAAAGAGTATTTTTTAATATATAAACATCAGATAGTCTTACGACTTTCTTAACATTACACAAACAAGTGAGGAAAAACAAGATGCAGAAAAGGCTGTAAATGTACTCATGCAGTAGCAATTCAAGTTTTAGCGCCACCAATAGGCAGAGAACACTCGTGTTCCCCCACCCCCCAGTCGTTAATGTCTGTGGAAATGAGGGCAACAGAAATCGTGTCAGGTTAAAACACATTCATAATAAGATGGAGCTCACCTAGTTTAATCTTTTTATTGGGAATACCCAGGGTTGTGATCAGTCAGGATCATGATAGGGATGAAAAAAGTTGGGGTTTCTGGATTACTAATCCAAGGTTCCGCAAGAACCACTGTTTCCTCCTCTCCCCACAGATCAAGAGACTTAACATACTGTTAGCCTCTTAGAGCTCTCCAAAGCAACCCTTTGCTCTAATCAAATTATAACAGTAAAATCAGGAGCTCTAGAATCTGGCTGCAACTAATTTTATAAACTCAGGCCTATTTGCTTATTTGTAAAATGGGCAATAGACTGCAAACTCACTCTGAACATGTTTGCTACATTCCCCCCCTTGCCTTGTTCCACAATCAAGAGAGAGTGGGGACATTATATTACTTTCAGAGATAGTGATGGCTCAGAGAGAAACCCAGAAAGTCAGAAACCCAGTCCACTGCTCTTGAGCTTTAGTTAGTGAATGTCCAGGAAAAAAAAAAAAAAATCACTCTAGGTGATTACCACAGGACACCTGTTGTCTCTCTTCTTTCTGTGCCACCTGCAAAAGCTCATCCAGACAGTTTGTTTGCGTCAGGACCACAGGGCAGAATCTCCAAAAAGTCCAAGTGTCTTAGGGCCATATTTAGAGAATAACTACTCTAAGTTATATAGTAAAACTAGCGCAGTTTGTTGAGGGGAGAGAGAGATTGTGAGCCAGCACATCCTCCCACAGGCACATATGTGAAATCTATCTTTACTATCTCAAGGGAAGAATTTGATGTTACAAGGGAAAATGTGTAAAATCCTTTACATTCTTTAAATAAAAGGGAGTTTGTACATTTAAAATATTTCCCCTTTGGAAGAAAAATAATCTGCTAAATCTTGTACAAATTTCTAAAAATTCCCACTGATTAGAGATTCAACTGATCAGTTTACCTGCTACTACATAAACAAAATAATCTGTTTCCTTTCCAGTGCAATCATTTTAAGGACAGATTTTTAAAAAATGAACGCTGCAAGAATTTAGTGCCCATAGTATTTGCATATGCATCTTTCACTTCAAATCTCTTTTAGAGGGTCAAAGAAACAGGGAAAATTGAGAATGAAAGATAACTATCACCCCTGGGGAAATTAAGTGTAATAAGGTCTAACAAAACATCCTGAAAGTTAGTTTTCAAGTAAATAAAAAGCAGGGAAAGAAAAGCTTCAGAAAAACCAACCTGAGATATAAGGCAGAGATCCTATCTGGGAATTATAACACCTGCATTTCCTAACATTTCAGGTGGTACAGATATTATCTGGAATATTACAAATCAGGGACAAAAGGCTGGTAAAAACAAATGTTAGCTGTCAAATGTTGAAGGGATTGTTTCTCCCCAGCCTCAAGTTCCTCGACCTTTAGGATCTGTGCAAAGGCAGGACTCAGTTCTCAAGAAGAGGGAAGGATCCAATTTAGCTTAGGAAGAAACACACTGGCTAGAAGAAGAGTGAGAAACATGGGCAAGAGGCTACAAATAGGTCTTGGTATTTCTCTTTTTTTCTGAAATATATGAATAATTAGACTTTTAAGTCCATAACTAGATTAGGAATTTAAGCACTGTTAAAGTTTATGGTTCTATTTTATAAATGAAAACAAGCTAGAATGGAGCTATTCTTCAGTCATATTTACCAAGCACACAGCACATCACATATAGGGCAATACAATTATTAGCCAAGAGTAAACTCCATAGGGCCAAGTCTCCTCCTGGGCAGCTCTGCTGAAGCCATGGAATGAGCAACATTCCTTGCACATACACATAAAGGATATGGGTGGGGGGGAATGAGGCCCTTCCTTACAGCAAGAAGTGATGTTGCCTCTGTATATTGCAAAAATAGAAGGCTTGCCTTTACAGTAAACAAGTGATGATAAAAATGTAATTTTCTTTGGGGTAGCAGGAGGAAAAGGTGTATTTTAAGGTAAAAAATGGAGAAGAAAGAGAAACCTTTCACAAGGAATGTTTTTGTAAGAAAGTCCATTTCACTACTAGAAGGAAGTGACCCCAGATTTCTTCTGAGATTTCTACCATGCTCTTTTTCATTTCTGTCAAAGCCAAAAACAACAAACCAGGAGTCCTAAGTTACTCTTGCCCTCAGGTGAGTAGCTGTTGTCTGCAACCTGGTATCCAGGGGGTACTGGGAAGAGTACCAGTTTGGCTGGTACTATAGGCCCAGCTCTGCCTTTGTGTGTCCATTTAACTTTGGGCAAGTCTCTTGGACTTCATGTTATGTTAGACAAGGGGACCTCAAAGGTGCCTCTTAGAACTAAGATCCTATACTGATGACCTCATTTTCTGACCACGTAAAATACAGACCATGAATAAAGGAAATAAATTTCAAACTAAAAACAATAAAAAAACCCAAACCAAAACAACAACAACAAACCCCCAAAAAACAGATCAGGAAGGGCTCATTAAAACACGTGGAGATAAAAACCAGCAAGAAAAGAAAAGAAAATCTGTTCAAAATGAATTATTTATCTCTGCAAAATGCTTAAATAAAAGGGACTTTGACCATTTAATACATTTCTCCCTTGGAAGAACAACAATGTGCTACGTCTCTGGCCCCGCTACAACTCCCCCCACCCCTCACCTGCCAAAATACCACTAATTAGGAATTCCAGTGATCAGTTTTACCTGCCAACAGTATAGAATTACCTGTGTTAGCACACACCACCAGGAAAAGTTAACAGACACAAGAGGAAGTGGAGAGCCAAGTGGAGAGGCTGACAATTCACGTCACAAGGTGATGTGGGGCATTCTAGAGCTACGTGCACACACGCATGTGGGTAATTCAAGGAACACCAGAGACAAGACTCAGGAACATCTGCAAAGCACTTTCAGGCAAAGAACATACCAGGCAGCACTCAGAGAAGGATTTTTTAGGAAGTCGTGCAGGAGGAGGTGGACCCTGATCCCACTCCCAGAATGCCATGGAGTTCTGACAGACCACAAGTTCCCCGGAAGGCTAAGAGGATGGAGAGTGCCAATGACAGAAAAGCAAAAAAGAAAAGGATAGGGAGAAAGAGACAAGCAAAACATGCATGCATATGATAAAGTCACAGGAGAAGGGGAGAGAAGAAAATATGGTAGCACAAAGAAAAGCACTAGACAGATTGTGCTTCGGTTTTTAAGAAAATGTTTAAAATCATAAATGTATGAACATTTTAACAGAAAAGCAATATGTATTTGGAATGATGTTTTCTGCTTTATTTCTACACATCTGAGTTTAGAAAATAGTTAACAGATCTTCTGACTGCATTCTTCTTTGATCACAATAGTCAAAACTTAACAATTATTCAAATGTATAATTATGGTTTTATTTTCAAGTAGTACAACTAAAGCATAAGGATCTTAATTCAAAAATAATTTCTAAACACTTTATAAAATGGTGTCAGCAAGCCAAGGATAAAGCACAAGCAAATACATCTTTACTTACTAAGTTTATGCCTGAAACTTAAAAAGTCTGTTTCTTGTATATTTTTTTCTCTATAGGAGACATACTGAATAAAAATTTATACTAAACTTAGCCTTTACTTGTACACAGGGAGATTTGTTTTAGAGCCTGATTTTAGGTGTATTAAAATTACAAAAATGGGGGGAAAAAGGTGTTTTCTGATGTAAGTCAGTACAAAGGGATTACTATTTTAAAATAAAACTGAGCCATTTTGTAAAAGAATGCTGAAGAACCTGCACAGCGACAACTGCTGGGTTGAGTAAGGCATCCTGGGAAGGCAGCCCACATACCTCCCGCAGGTCATTGTCCAATCCAATGTGCTCCGAGTGTTGGCGAAGGCGGTCTTTCCTGCGCTGCGCCGTGGCACTCCGACTTACCCAGCGACTGGAAAAGGAGCCATACCCAAGAAGGTGCGGGTTAAGACAAAAAACGAAACAAACAAAAAAATGTGATAACTTATTTTTAAAACAGAAAAAATGTATTCTTAAAGACAAAAGATTACTTATTTTTCAATCAATTCTTTAAATACAGAAAGCTTTATTGTAATATAATTAAATACCATACAATTCACCCATTTAAAGCATACAATTTAGTGGTTTTTATATTCAGAGACATGTAACCATCACTACAATCAATACTTTTTTAAAAACTGAGGTTAAAAAACACACAGTATCTCCTCATAATGATCCTCTCCCTCTCACTTTACTGTCCAGCAGAGCCCCAAACCCTAGATGAATTCCATCCCCTTACTTCTCTATTCTCCTATTTACGTGGGACTAGTTCTTGATTTCTGCCTGACTCCTCATGAATCACTTTACCTGCCCTTCATCAACTCTCTCCCATTACCCTCAAAAACTGTTTCAAATCAAGTGCCTCCCCTCGACTGATGACCCATCCTTGACTCCTTCTTCCTGTCCTCTACTGAAATGATGTATATACAGACACCTCATCTTTCTTTTAATCCCAAAGTATAAAATATATTGGCCATGGCTCAAAATTAATTCTGCCACCTGGAAGAAACTCCCTGACCAATTCTCTCTTGACTTCTTCAACAGGCTGCACTAGTCATCTCTTTTTCTTTATCTCCGATTTTTCTCTCTCAACTAAGTATTTCCCTTCAGCTTACAAGCACGCTGGTCTCTTTCCTGACCCTCTACAGTTATAGTTAAGTTTCTTTCTTCACTCTCCTCATGAAAGAATTCTTAAAAAGAAAACATGACATGTAAGGCCTCCACTTGTTTACCTTTGGATCTGTAGTTTACCTCAAATCAGCTTCCCCGGCAATGCTCTTAAATATATATATATATATATATATATTTTTTTTTTTTGGAAGATTTTATTTTTGACAGAGAGAGAGAGAGTGTATAAGCGGGGGAAGCAGCAGGCAGAGGGAGAGAGAGAAGCAGACTTCCCGCTGAGCAGGAAGCCCGATGCGGGGCTCGATCCCATCATGACCTGAGCCTAAGGCAGACACTTAACCGTCTGATTTTAGGTGTATTAAATTAAAGGGCGCCCCCCCGCCCCAGTAATGCTCTTGATGCCATTTATATCCCTAACTGCCATATCCAGGGCTATCATTCAATTCTTAGCTTACCCAAACTCTCTGCTACACTTAGTACTACTTTACAACCAGCTAGTTTCAACTATGTCAGTATTTCCAGTGGGGTCAAGTTCTGTCACCTTTGCACCTTTGTCCATGACGTTTCCTCCTGATTTCTATTCTTCTTTCAGATAGCTTTAATGCTACACTGAAAGTGTTCTTTGATTCCTCCAAATCTAAACTGTCTACCCCTCTTCCACTCCCCAATTTTATTACTCGTCACAGTCTATTATAAGCGCTTATCTCTATTTTCTACAAAATTCTCTCTACTCTAATAAACTCTTGAAGGGCTGGTATCATGTCTGTCAGCTGTTTGCTTTTTTAAGATTTATTTATTTATTTATTTGAGAGATAGAGAGATAGGGAGATAGGGAAAGAGCATGAGTGGGAGGGGAAGAGAGGGAGAGAGAGAGAATCTCAAGTAGACTCCGCGCTGAGCACAGAGTCCAGTGCGGGGCTTGATCGCATGACTCTGAGATCAAGACTTGAGCTGAAAACAAGAGTTGGATGCTTAACTGACTGTACCACCCAGGTGCCCTGCTAGGCCTGCTAATTTTGTTTAGGCACAGGCCCCTGTGCGCCCTGCTAATTTTGTTTAAAAAAGTGTGGACATGCACACCAGGATCCATGCAATGGAAGAGCCTAACAGCAAATGTTAACATCTCATGGTGATGGCATTATGGGTGTTTAAAATTTACCCTATCACTTTCAAATATTCTAAATTTTCTAATAAGCATATATTATTTTATATCAAACTATTTAAAAAAATTTTTCAGATCTTGAGCGCCTGCGTGGCTCAATTGTTAGGCGTCTGCCTTCAGCTCAGGTCATGATCCCAGGGTCCTGGGATCGAGCCCTGCATCAGGCACCCTGCTCAGCGGGAAGCCTGCTTCTCCCTCTACCATTCCCCCTGCGTGTGTTCCCTCTCTCGCTATGTCTCTGTCAAATAAATAAATAAAATCTTAAAAAAAATTTTTTCCCCCAGATCTTGACTTATTATCCACATGACTATGTATTCACCACACTTTTCTAAGAGTATCTTCTCTTGAATATATCCTTGACAGCACAGAGCTATATACAATTTAAAAAATGAATTTATGCTTTTGCCATTCAGGAAAAGTCATACTGTATTACTGCCAGTTAATTATTTTTAATTTTTTATTTAATAAAACATGCAATTTACAAAAAGCTTAAAATGAGAATGTGGCTTCTTCTGTTGCTTTTTAAAAATAATTTATGCATGCCTCTGGTTTCACGTTTCTGAATCATCTCATTTCAGTCTGCCATTTAGAGGAACACTGAATAATTATGATAAAAATGATAGCAAGGTAGTCCCTCTTAAATAGTTAAGAAAAATAGGCTTATATTGGGACAAAAAGTGCAAAATCCTAGTGATAGATCTTTGAAGTAGAATCCTTGGAACTTTCCCAATAGCAAAGGATCAAAGTAAGACTGTAAAAAGGATACAAAGAGAACTAGGGTGACTGAGAAAGAAGATCCAGAAAAAAGCATATTAAGACAGACAAAGATTCTTTGCTTGATCAAACTTTAGTTAGGCTCCTGAACCTTCTCCTAGGTCCATCTGTGCACTTCCTTATAAAATCTAGTTTTAACAAGAACCTTGTTAAGTCAGTTCAGCTGTAACCTCCCTGCCCCACCATCCTCGGCACATGATCATTCTCCGTATCTGATCAGCTTCTACATCATCCATCACCCTCCAGATGTCTGATCACCCAGCCCTACCTTCAGCAAGATCTTATTAGGTTGGTTTAGTCAAAATCCTCCCCCCTACCTCTGATGTTTCCTCTTAGTAATTTTCTCTCCACTCTGCTACTTGATTATAAATTCCTATTTATCCACATTGTATATGGAATAGAGTTCAATCTTTCTCCCACTGCAATGGTCCCTACATGGCCCCCCTTGACTAAAGTCTGTCTTAACATCTTCAACAGTGTCATGGATATTGTTTTTCTTTTAACGACTTTGAAGCAGAATATAAACACCAGCTGATAAATTTATATAATAAACAACAGGGAAATATAAGTAACAAACAAAATGTACAGGCCTTAGAAATAGCTCTGTAGCAAGAAAGGTCAGTGAGAGACAGTAAATTAGGGTTACTGGACAGGGTAGGTTCAAATAAATAGTAAAGATAGGAAATAGACTAAAATACCAGCTAATGAACTTATTTTTTTTTTTTAGATTTTATTTATTTAACAGAGAAAGAGATAGCAAGAGCAGGAACACAAGCAGGGGGAGTGGGAGAGGGAGAAGCAGGCTCCCCACTGAGCAGGGAGCACAATGTGGGACTTGATCCCAGGACCCTGGGATCATGACCTGAGCTGAAGGCAGACAGATGCTTAACGACTGAGCCACCCAGGTGCCCTAATGAACTTATTATATAATGAATAAAGAAAAGGAGAATACAAACGGCAGAATAATTCCCTTCGCAGGCAAAGTGGAAAAGGCTTTAGGTAAAGAAAAGGATAAATTTTAACTTACATGATATACCTAGCATCTCACTATACATTGCTGTGAGACAAAATGCCCTATTTTATTTTCAAAACAGGGATATGATCATCTGCTTAAGAAAATTACTATGAAGTCTACACATTCCTGGTCTTGTTAAGGAATTACTTTCTTCTTTTTATTATTAAATCTCATTTACTAAGCATATTTTTTATCAAAGATGATCACATTTGCTAAAATCCTAATGACTGCTTATTTGCTTTTGCTTTGTAAGCAGCATATGAAATTCTAATAGTTGATCAGCCATTTGCAGAGGCATGGTTATGTATCTCCTTATCCTGCAATGAGTTCTTAGATCTTTCTTTCAGACTAAAATCTACCTGAAAATGTAATACTTGGGGCTCAGTCTGGAAATAAGAGACCTTGGGGTTATGTACGAGATTAAAAGCAAGAAAACAAGGCAGGAAAATTTATTTATTTATTTATATTTATTTATTTATTTGCCAGAGAGAGGGAGAGGGAGAGCACAAGCAGGGGGAGTGGCAGGCAGAGGGAGAAGCAGACTTCCTGCTGAGCAGGGAGCCCGATGCGGGACTCGATCCCAGGACCCTGAGATCATGACCTGAGCCGAAGGCAGACGCTTAACGATCTGAGCCACCCAGGCGCCCAAGGCAGGAAAATTTAAAGTTGAAATCTTCCCTCCTTAATGCTCCTTACTTCCCTTTTCTGCTTTATTTTTCTTCACAAATCTCATCACTGATAGGTTACTTATTTTACATATTAAGTTTCTTTGTTTCCTCCTCCTCCTCCTTTTGTTGTTTTGTTCATTGCTAAACTCCCAGTGAACAGGACACTGCCTCACATACAATCAGGGTTCCATAAATATTTGCCAAATGAATGAATGAGTAAACTAATGCTATTAAAGAGGAAATAAAAACTACTTAGATTTATAGTCTACTAGGATGAAATAATTCAAACAATTAGGATACTTTACAAACATAGGAAAAATAGGTAAACTGATGACTAGTCTATTCTGATGGAAAATTCTCATTCATTTCTGAAAAATCAGAACATCTAGGACAATCATCTGGAAAGTTTGAACCCCCATAATGTTTAATATCTCTTCCAGAGTCTCGTGCTCCACTGACATAATTCTTTTACTTTACTGCATTGCACTCCTTTTCCAACTATGTAAATGGTACTGGGATGAAAATTTTCCAGACCTCCAGGCTTTATGAATGAGACATCATGAACATGGTACCTGGAGTAAGGGGACCTGAGTTCCACTCCTAACTCTGCCAGTAATTCAAGCTCAAGACTCCTACCAACACATAATAATGCCACTGTCTTCAGGGTTAGGCTATTTGACTTCAACCATTGCTTCATGTAGTTCTTCACTTGGGAAGATGGTGCCTACAAATCTATCTTGCTCCTCAGAGTATTATTCTATCTTCTTTGGGGCCAACCCTTTTAACAGAGTCCAGTTTAAGGCAGAAGTGAGGTATCTGAGGGCTCTTTCATTGTGGATGATCTTGTCACACTGGAGACACAAAACCGAAGTGGCACTGAGCCACCTGAATTTTCAGAAAGCAACTAGAGAATCAATGAAGGGAATAAAAAAAAAAAAAGAATTATGCCTTTTGACCTAAATGGCCCAAACTAAGTAAGTTATATTAAGGTGGCTTAAAAGTATGATGTTTTCTTTCAGATGATTTGTGAAACTATGTATTACAAAATTTTTGGTACTTATCTCTTTCTCATAGTACACATTTATGTTCAATATTTTAGGCTATTCAAAATTTCCTGGGGGCTACCAAAGCACAGTTTCCAAATCCAAAATTTCTGAAGTAACTGAGCCAGATAGTATGTATATGTGGTTTAACAGTTAAGGGCTTGAGCCCCCGAATCAGCAGAGCTAGGTTTGAATCTTAGTTGCACCACTTCCTAGCTATGTGATCTTGGAGCAAGTTGTTGAATCTCTCTGAACCTCATTCATAAAATGGGTAAAACAATATAGGTTTTATATATAAGGATATGCTTGTAAGAAGGAGCTAAAATGTACTCAGTGCAGTCAGCAGAGAAGGCAGTGTAGAATCAGCTTAATATTAGCTATTATTATCAGCAGATCAACTCCATAACCACCCCCCTCTTGGCATGGAGAAGGCTCCACTGGCAGGAAAGGTATATTTGGAAGCAGAAAAAAGGAAAGAATAATTACTTTGATGCACTGATGAACATTCCTAAGTTTTCTGACTGAACTGTTAAGGGGTATATATTTATGATGATAAATACTAGACTCTGAAAGGAAAAGCAGCAGCAATGTAAATGGTACTGTAACTGTTTTCCTTAATCCTAATCCATACACACCACTTTTTCCCTTTTGATGTGTTTGCTACACTACAGCTTTCTCACATTTGGAACTAAATGAATCAATTATTCTAACACATTTAAGAAACATTTAAAGGAACACCTTCATCTAGGAAAATGGTAAGGGGTTCATTCTTTTCAGGGTATTAAAAATAGGGAATTAGCAGTACAAACACAAGAATACACAGATATTACCACATATACATGCACCCCAAGAAATTCCAAATACCACAGTACCTAGCTGAGAACAGTGTTTACCAAATTAAACCAACATATTATATAATTTACTATGTTTCCCTTTTTCCTGACCAACAGAATCATGACAAACACCTTAGGAAATAAAGAGGCAAGTGCCAAAAATTTACAACATGTAAATTTAGCAGTTCATCTAAAAAATAGAAACATCATTTAAACCATCTTTTGAGAACCTTCCCATTATTTAGTTTGGGCCATTTAGGTCAAAAGACATCATTCTACCTTTTTTATTCCCCTCACCGATTCTCTACTTACCTTTTGAAAATTCAGGTACCTCAATGCCACTTCCATATTGTGTACCCAGTCTTTACCTCAGTCTTCTAACCCATTTCTTTGCCACAGCCTGGTTTTTTCCTTTCCTCCTCTGGGACACTTTTATGAGGTGATACGTGTTGTAGAATGTTAAAAGAGTATTTTCCGGTGAGAAAGGGGCAAATGATTCCAACCTGTCCAAGGTTCCTGGTTAGCGGTTAAGAATGAACTAAATCCCAGAATTACTGATTTCCAATTCCAACTTTTCTTTGCAACTTACTATATTTCCCTTTAATACTTTCCTTTGTGTCCTTTCTTGTAAAACCCTCCTTTATTCCTCACTTGTTAATAAAACACTTGTATTCACTCAAAATCCCTTAAACCCAAAGAACTCTTTTCAATTCTAATCATATTCAGATATTTTCTGAATGGAATCATCTGCCATAAAGAATGATAGGGTTTATCTTTATTTTTGATTGTTTTGTAATTTTTGAACTTGATACTTAAAAAGTACAAAGGTGGTGTTATGGGTTGAACTGTGTCCCCCCTCAGATCCCCATGATATGCTGAAGTCTTAAACTCAATTCCTATGAATGTGATCTTATTTGGTAATAGGGTCCTTGCAGATGTAATCAGGTTAAAATGAGGTCATTAGGGTGGGCCCTAATCCAATAGGACTGGTGTCCTCATAAGAAGAGGGAAATTTGGACTCAGACATAGAGGGAAATGAAGACAGAGACAGAGACTGGAGTTAGCACTGTTAGAAGTCAAGGAATGCCTGAGGCCAGCAGAAGTTGAAGAAGCAAGAAGGCTCTTCCCTTAGAGGTCCTGGAGGGAGAATGGCCCTGCCAATAACTTGGTTTTAGACTTCCAGCTTCCAGAATTGTGAAAGAACGTATTTCTGTTGTTTTAAAAGCCACCAAATTTGTAGTACTTTGTATAGCAGTCCTAGGAAACTAATACAGACAGTGAAAGTATAATTTTTCTAATTCCATTAGACAGTATTAGCATTATATTTAAATAGTCAAAGTGAAAGTATTCCCAAGTGTACATTACTTTAAAAAGGAAAAAAAAAATCTCTGTTTGGATTTTTTACATGATGGAATTAAAAGTCAAATACTCATAGAATGCCAATCCATATTCCAAATGGATTGATTTGGCCTTTGAAGGAAGTAATGAGATCGATAAGATATTTAATGATCACCATGCCCCATTAGAGCTGCACAGCACTGCACTCTTCACTTACCCCTTCAACCCACTGCTCAAGTGAAGAACGTGCTCGCTTACTTGTTATTAGCTGGTCCTGTTGCCAACACATCAGACTGTAACTTTGGAAAGAACCCTTGCTCATATTTGCCTTGACCAATTTTCATATCAAGCAGATGTGGGTGGATTGCCGTGTGATCCATTTTCATCAGTCGCTGCTCAATTGATTGGGCTATAAATTAAATTTATAACAAATTAGAGGCATTTCAATGGCTAAACCTTAAAACAATGCTTCCTCCACTCATGCACCAAGGAACTCAATCTGACACTCTAAAATAGATTTTTATAAAAGCTCTTGAGAAATCAGTGTAATGTAAGTATAAAAAGGTTAATTTTAAGTGAATACTAGATGACTAATTTTCATGGTATATTCTGCCTCTGTCAAAAGCAGGGCAGCAGGGTTGAAAAATCTTTAGTACTGAAACAAGTTTCCCTTAAGTGGGATATTCAGCATTTTAATACTTCAATATTTCAAAATTAAATATGTAAGAAAAATATTTTCTTAATGAAAATATGGTTCGAAGTACATTTAAGAAAAAGACGGCAAATAAAATATTGACCTTGAACTGCAAGACAGGGAAGGAAAAGCAAGCACAGTAGCCTTATATTACTTTATTTCTTTGTACAAAGATCCATTAAATATCCATAGTTCTCCAATTGTAAAAACAAGAAATGGTGTAAAGTTTATTACTTCACTTTTAGCAACAGTCACATTCTCATTAGTAGGAGTCATTCAGGAGTGTTTATTAGATCAAGAGGGGTAATGCAGAGAACAATAAAATAAGCAGGCATTTAGAAAATGTCCAGAGGATAAGAAACTGACCTTTTGAAGAATAAAATAGCCAAAGTTAAAAGATAGGAATGGCTAACATTTCTATTTAAAACCATTTAAAGTTAGGAGGGTATCTCCAAGACCCAAGAAAGACTGAACTATTTCTCTGGTAGAAAAATCTGATCTTAAATGTTTTTATGAACTGAATTTTCAAGAGAAAATATATTATTTGTGAAGCAAGACCAGGTCTTTAATTCTTTGCCTACAGAATACTAAAAGGGGAGAACAAGCAGTAATTGTGGTGGTGTCATAAACAGAAAGCACTCTGGGAACTGTTAATCTTTGGATTTAAGAGAAGTAAAAAGCTATTTTTGTAAGTATTTCATGGAACCAGTTTATTTTGCCTACTTTAATATCAGCAGATTGAGTACTGCTGGTTATTCCCCATACATAGTCTTAAAAACTTTCTTTCTGAGTGGAGAGGGGTCTGTCCTGGACATATTCCACACCTGTCAAAAGAACGTGCTTACTACCATCTTGTGTGAGATTAATGCTTCACCTAAGCCAGTTCCTTGTGCTTGATGACAGCATTAAGCGATGTTTATACAGATGTCACTATTACCCATGACTTAAACTTCACAATATTAGATACCTACTTCAAACTGCCCTAATTTTTCCTTTATAATTCATATGAACTTGCCCAAAACTTTTTTAAAGTTTTTTTTTTTTTTTAAGATTTTATTTATTTGACAGAGAGAGACACAGCGAGAGAGGGAACACAAGCAGCGGGAGTGGGAGAGGGAGAAGCAGGCTTCCCATTGAGCAAGGAGCCTGATGCGGGGCTTGATTCCAGGACCCTGGGATCATGACCTGAGCTGAAGGCAGACGCTTAATGACTGAGCCACCCAGGTGCCCCCTTACCCAAACCTTCTTGAATTTCACTTTATTTTTAATGTGTAACTTGTAACTTCTCTTAAAACATAGTCCATATGGTCTATGTTGGGTGAAAAGAATGCCATGTTTTAATGTGAAATGGTATTTAATTTTCAATGATACACTCTGGCTCTCCACAACCCTATCTATATTCTCAATGCTTCCTAATATTTATAAAACACTTAATTAACAGATGGTTCAGGCAAAATAAAGCTTAGATTCATGGCATGGAATTCTCTGAAGTCCCTGCCAATTTTATGTTCCATGAAATACTACAAAATTCCATCTCTGCCAATGAATGCTTCTGTTCTCATGAAAGGAAAAAAAAAAGCAGCTTCAGTTTTTCTGCTGGATTTAAAACGACAGAGAAATCCATCTGATACTGAGTTATTCTCCTTTAGTCAGGAAGCTTATTAAAAACAAAAAGCTTGATTCACAATGAGTTACTCTGGGGTTTATACTGAAGATTGCCATAGGGAGCATAATGCAATGTTACTTTTCAGTAATTATTCCACCAGTGAATACTGAACATTCAGAAATTATTAAATGCCTGCTTTGAGAGGTCATGGGCCCGTTAGATTTTCAAGGGTTTGTGCCAATACTCATTTTCTGTGATTGGTAAGAAAAAAAGAAAAACTCTGCATTACTATCAACTTGTCTTTCTGCACAGAAATCATGAGGTTCTGGTGCCACAATATCAACAGCAGATAGCCTCTGCCTAAAGAGTTCACCTGCAAATCAAAATTCTTTTTAGTTAGAGGCAAAACAAAAAAAAACAAAACAAAACAACAAAGGACAAAAACCCAACACAATAAAAATCCATACAAAGCAAGAAAATGCCAATCTCTGTAGTTATTGTTGGGGGGGCTGGGAAGAGGATAATTTTACTTGATGAAAGAAATAACTGCACCATTTATGGGGGATAGACGCAGTCACAGCCAGCTGCCTCCTTTTACTTAAAAAAAAAAAAGTCTTCGATAAATTAGGTTCCTTGGAGACTACTGCTTTAGCCCAATCTCATTTTCATATGTTAAAACTATAATGGTATATTTTCAAGAGAATTATGTAATTTCTGTGATGACAGTGGAATGTCAAACTTTTTGAGAGGCTGACAGAAAATCTATTTTAATTGAAAAGATTTTCTGGAAGCACACAAATAAAGGAATCACTGCTCCATTAAAAAAATTCTGTCAGGAAGGGAGGAATGAAATTTTCTCAACAAGGCATTATATTTTTCACATGGCTATTAAAGTACTGAAAGTCACACTGTTCTACGAATAGGCACAATTTCATTCATTCCACTCCCTCAATTTCCAGAAACATAGAGGTAACTGCCACTTCCTGAAGGGGCTCCAAGGATCTACTCTCATAAGTGGGAATACAACAGAATGATGTTTCAGTGACTTATCAAAGAGACCTTTTTTTTTTTTAAGATTTTATTTATTTATTTGAGAGAGTGAGAATGAGAGAGAGAGAGCGCACATGAGAGGGGGGAGGGTCAGAGGGAGAAGCAGACTCCCCGCTGAGCAGGGAGCCCGATGTGGGACTCGATCCTGGGACTCCAGGATCATGACCTGAGCCGAAGGCAGTCGCTTAACCAACTGAGCCACCCAGGCGCCCTCAAAGAGACCTCTTAAGACTATATAAAGACATCATTTACATATTTCTTTCCTTAAATATGCTACAACTACAGCATCACCACTTCTGTGACTTTGATCTATTTAAATAAAGTGAGAAAGGCAAGCATAGAAACAGAGCAAGAAACTCTTTCCTGCCTCTTTTTGCTCCAGAGGAAAACTTGCTCAAATAGCTTCTATATTAGAAGGGGGAAAAAAATGAAAAAAAAGGGACACTCAAGTGATGGGTATCAGTTTATTTGGCAAAGAAAGTGTTAGGAACAAGGTATAAACGTATAAAATTGTGTGGATTGGTAACTGTAATAAAGTATTTATTTATTTGTCAGCGAGAGAGAGAGAGCACAAGCAGGGGGAGTGGCAGGCAGAGGGAGAGAAGCAGGCTCCCCGCTGAGCAGGGAGCCCGATGCGGGGCTCGATCCCAGGACCCTGGGATCATGACCTGAGCTGAAGGCAGACACTTAACCTACTGAGCCACCCACGCATCCCACTTCACATGTTTCTTTACTAAACAAACATCTAATGTGGTATTAAGGCTTCAGGTGCTAGAATTAGTCAAATCTGAATTCAAATCATGCTCCATCAATCACTAGCTATGCAATCATAAGCAAGCTACTTAACCTCTCAGCTTTCTCAACTGTAAAATGAGGACACTAATAAAACAAAAGTAAATGTGCTTACACTCCCTCATTGTTAAGATCAAAGGCAAAATGCATGTAAAACATGTGGTATGATGTTTAGCACATAGTAAGTACTCAGTAAATACTGGCTATTAATATGATTATTTATTTAATGGACTATATTACTGCCAGACAAGAATGGCCAAGACTCTAAGGGAAAAACTGTGTCCGAGTTGGAAAACTCTAATTTGAATACAGGAATCCAGAGATTTAATTTCAATAAGTGAAACTATTAAAAATTAATGGCCCCACTAAAGAGTAAATATACTGTTACAGTTATATAAATTAAGCATCTCAGATTTATTAAATCAATACTTACCTTTCCTTTAATGAAAAGAAGTGAGAAGTAAAAAGCAACATAAGCAGCAAGAAAAATTTACATTTTTTCAATTAAGGCAATAAAAGAGAATAAGACAAAATTCACAGCAACCTTATGGTTATATTACATTCAATTTGTTACTGTTTTTCTCCCTTCTTTCTTTCTTTTTTTTTTTTTTGGAGGGGGGAAGGGCAGAGGGAGAGGGAGAGAGAAAGAATTTTAAGCAGGCTCCACGCCCAGCACGGAGCCGGATGCGGGGCTCTATCTCAAGAACCTGACCATGACCTGAGCCGAAATCAAGAGCTGGATGCTTAAATAACCAAGCCATCCAGGCGCCCCTGTTTTTTCCTCTTCTAAGGGCAGAGGAATGTCAAATAGGAATGGAATGGACATTAACTCACAGAAACAGAAGGAAACAAAACTACAGAAAACACCTGATGTAGTATAAAGGATTAACCATGAAGTCTAAAACTGAAAATTAATTTTCGGTTTATAAGGCCAACATTGTGTAAAAAGAAACGATCATGGATTTTAATTTTAAAAGGCATGACAAATATACCTGCTTCTTTTAAAGTGCTGCATTTCTGATAAATAGATGTCCTCAAGGTGGGTGCCCTTACATTATACAGTCTCATCTTCTCAATCCGAGAGTCAAAGACCCGAAGCAAAGAATCCTTCTCTTCCCACTGAGACATAATTTTATTATCAATAAAGGTGGCAAACATCTGTGTTTCAATGAAGCGTGAAAGAAATGGCAGGTAAGGCTCAGGCTGGTCAGAGAGAAAGGAAGCCTGTAATGAGATAATTAGAAATTATTAGAGCAAGGAGACTATCTTAGTACTACGTGATAAATCTGAAAATTTGTTGGTGAGGTCATTTTTTAAAAATCGTGTAACATGCAGAACTGATGCTTGATATTTAAAAATCTCAAAAGATCACTTCTCCTTCTAAATTCACGGAATTTAGGTCACTTAGGCCTTTAGCACTGATCCCACCTTTCAAAATTGATTTACATTCTGGTACTCATAATCATTAGGTAGAAAAGAGGGCATTACTAATGAAAGAGGGTGGATCAAGTTATCGTCAATCATCCTCTTACCAATAATTTCTGACCCTTTCCCAGTGAACTGTGATTTTTTTCCTGCTCTCTATTCCTAGCCTATGCAGTGTATCGCTGAGTCATAAGGCACTTACATGATCAATGAGTATGATTGAGATATACACATAAGTAATAACCTTAAAAAAACATGGAATTTGTGCTTATGGGTGAAATCTGGTTTCTCAAGTGGATGTTTTTCTAGGCCCCAACACTGTTTGAGACTGATGGATGAGTGCTAATTCAAGATCAAACTCCTTCCAGACCTGTGTCTGGGCCTTAACTAAAATAAGTATTGCCTGAAAAACCATCCAAAGCAAGCTGGGCCTTTAGAAAACATGTACAACCAGCTGCACGTTCCTGTTACCAGCTTGTCTGGTGCATGGAATGGTTCAGTAAATTGTGATCAGTTCCTAATTCAAAGTGTTTTTTTTTCTGTGGTTCTTCAGGTCCATGTGTTTACAGGAATTCTAGTCACAGTTTGATACTAGCTGAAATTTGGAAGTGAATTATTATTTCAGCTCCTGGGCTGGTTTTGCTTTTCACTCTTTTGAGTAGGTGCAGTGTGGCAGAAGCGGGAAGGCGAAAGATGAAAGGGTAAGCTCTGACATAAGATTAGTCTCCTTAATACTCATTGGCTTCTTCCGAGCGTATTTATTTTTCATTCTAAAATTTAGGAAGCCTTTAAAAAAGTTCCTTATAGAAATGCACTTATTCAATTTAAGCGCTACCAGGGTTCAGATGTGTTTACATAAATCCAAATAGCCAGTGAAAGGTTCACAGTAGTCTCTGAAAACCAATTCACCTCTTCAAAAGATATTTTACAGATAAATACCAATTTTACTTTTTCTAGAGCGAACAGTTTTCCTTCTCCCTCTAAATGGGCCAAATATCTGGCTTTTGATATTCAGACCCTCATGGACTACAACACTTAAGTTAGCAAAGACTTGGTTTGGAGGACTAGGATGTGATAGTCCTGTACATTTTCCTAGTGAAAAATGAAATGATTACAAGCCTTCTGGAATCCAAATGAAACTTTCATTTCTCTAGTGGTTATATAAAAAGAATTCCATTTATAGTCTGAAACTACATAAAGATTAAGAAGGAAGAAAGTACCAGTGCTTGATTTAGATAAAAATTTGAATTGCCCCAAGGATAAATCATGAGTGTACACAGATTAGTTCCGAGTAGGATAGGAAAAAAACGGTTAAGCTTAATAAGAAAGGAACCTAAAAGTAGGAATACATTTGGAGAAGTGAAGGCTTTTTAATTTATTAAGGAAGTTTTCTCAAGCATAAAATGCATCAGAACTTACTGCTGAATGTAGTTTATAACTTCAACTGAAAAAATGTCTGATGAAATCAGAAAATAATCTTTGATACTACCAACCTTTACAAAAAATGTTTATTAATATTTACTTGTCAGAGACTCCACAATTGTAGATTAGCCTCTTAGAATACATTAGCCCCTTTTAGAGGTCTTTCATGACACAATGCTACCATTTAGCAAAAAACCATAATGCATTCTAATAGCAACATGATGCCTTGGCAGTCACAGAGGCAGGGGACTGAACTACACCCTACTGACCTGAAAGAGTAAATGCACACCTCTAAGTGCTTTTGTCTGGAAAACAAAAACAAGCTAAAAGACTGGTGGATATGTCCAGAAAATCTGCCAGAAGAATACTCTATAGTAAACCTTAGAAAGAAGCTTCAACTTCAGCAGGACAACTGAAAGCCAGTGTCATTTTCTATCTTCCTTTCCCACAAACTTTGGAACAGAACCTTAGACTTACAGTCATAAAACCTAATTCATTCACTTTTTCTCTCTTTTGATCCTAAGATGAGGTAAAACTTTGTCTTCTGAAACTAAAGTGCTATCTTTACATGGACAAGTTGAGATGTCATCATAGGATGAAGACAAAATGTAAGAATAAGTTCTTAATGGGAAGGGAGAGAGGAAAAATCTGTAGTTAAAAAAGTTAGCAAAATCAGTAATGACAGCCCACTAAGAGCCATAAAAAAAGGGAAACGAAGTGTTTTTTTTTTTTTACTTTGTCAAAGTTCTGCATCTGTTCTCGGTTGGTCAGCCAGGATTCCATGTCCTGGGCAGTCTGAATCACAAATGCTTCATAATCTGCAAACATCTGTGTAAAGCGGTTAGCAAAGACCTCACGGAGCTGCACGTTGAGCTGGTAGTCCCTTAGTTCTGCCTCTTCACACTGAAGTTTTAAATCCTTTTCTTTTTCACTCAGTGTGGCAGAGAGATCCATTTTTTCCACGGTCACACCGGTCCGCTTGGCCAGAGCTTGGAGGCGGGCTATGGTTTCATTGCCCTTCAGTAACTCGTACATGCTGATGTTGTTAGTGGAGACGTTGCCATTCTTTTTGTCATTAACCAAGTCCTTCAGAACCAGATTCTTCAGTTTTGTGGCACTCTCACTGCAATGGAGGCTACCCTCAGGAGGGATCCCAAATTGAAGAAGCACTTCAGAGAGTTCCTGGATAAAATCCACCTTATTGGGGAATTGTGGAAATTCTTCAGGCAGTTCAATAAAATGGTTGTCAATATCCACAAAACACAAATTAGCCTGAAAGAAAAATACAAAGGTTTTAAAATAACATTTTTATATTCTAAAATATTCTTGCCAACTATTATAAACAAACTCATAGATTACACACTGCCTCTTTCTAAATTGAGATATATCTGACACATAACATTTTGCTTCAGGTGTGTGATTCAATAAAAATTATGAAATGATCACCACAGTAAGTCTAGTTAACATCCATCACCACACATAATTACAATTATTTTCGTGGAACAAGAACTTTTAAGACCTTACAATACCTTTTATGTTAACTTTCTGAAGGTTAATTTTTATTCTTTAAAAATAAATTTCTTGGGTGCCTGGGTGGCTCAGTCGGTTAAGCATCTGCCTTCAGCTCAAGTCATGATCCCCGGGTGCTGGGATCAAGTCCCACATCAGGCTCCCTGCTCGGCAGGACTCTGCTTCTCTTTCTACCCCTCCCCACTGCTTGTGCTCTCTCTCATGATATCTCTCTCTCTCAAATAAAATCTTAAAAAAAAATAATAAAAATAAAAATAAATTTCTTTTTCCAGCATTTTTCCCCTAGTATTCTATACCATATTTAATAAAAATGGATAATTTTCTCTGGGTCTTAGCCATTTCTTATCATCTGGACACGATTCTGTAATATATGACATCTCTTCGGCATTCCTAAATGAGTAAAGGTGCACAGAGTTGTAGTACCTTACAAACAGAAGGCACTGGGTAAAATGAGCACGGATGAATCCAGTCGGAACTTTCTATGCCATTCCACTTCTATGACACCATTTGTAATTTCGAATTAACAATAACTGCTATATTTTAGCAGCTATAGTCCCCACAAATGGGCTGAAATTGGCAAAGAACAATCCAATTCACAGAATAGCCACAAATTTTCACTTTATCCAAAATTAGTTTCAACCTCTTAGCAAAACCATTTCAGAAGTTATTAGACAAACAGCAGGAGGCAGAGAGTGGTAGAGGCAAGCGCTTAGACAATTACAAATGATTACCCCTTGAATAATTAAGAGTTGATTCAGGAGATTTTTTTCTTTTTAAAGATTTTATTTATTTGACAGAGAGAAGACACACAGAGAGAGGGAACACAGCAGGGGGAGTGGGAGAGGGAGAAGCAGGCTTCCCACCGAGCAGGGAGCCCGATGCGGGGCTCAATCCCGGGACCCTGGGATCATGACCTGAGCCGAAGGCAGACGCTTAACGACTGAGCCACCCAGGCACCCCAATTCAGGAGACATTTTTTGAGTTGGAAAAAAAAAAGAGGAAATAGAAATCAGAGGAAAAATTTTTTTGAGTTTGCTTACACTATAGATTTTGAATTTATATTGAATAAAAAGACTTTTAAATATTTTCCAAATAGTTATGAACAATTCAAGGGGCCAAGTACATGCATGAAATTCTCATTATCCCTTAGGTACATGATTATAGTAGACTCCAAAACAACATTTTACTTTTCCTGTTCATACCCTCTTAATCAGAACGAGGTTGTCAGTGTAAAGGAAGATTGTGCTCATGGACTGTGGAAGGGTGGGAGGCCAAAGGTATAGCCGATCCCATAAAACTGAATCTGACTACATTAGTGGCTGGACACAGGGCACAGGGTGGAACTCAACCAACAGAAGAAGTTTCACTTCGAGTTTCCCCATCTCTCCCACAGCCCTGCCACCTAGGTCAGCAAGGAGACAATTCACACTACCCTTTGATCCTGTGTGGCAACGTAAGGTGAAAACAGGAGAGCAAAGAGTTGGGTTTTTATTTTTCTCTTTGGATCCCTGCTCTTTATGTCAGGTGCTAAAGCACATAAAGTACAAATTTCTATATTTAGCTCAATCAAAACTCAAGATTTCCCCCATTTGAAAACAGAGAATCAACAATGGTTCCTCTCAAGCCTGAAGTGACCTCTGAATCCAACTCTTTAATTTTGCAGATGAAGAAAATTGAGGCCCAAGAAGTTAGGAGACTTCCTGACACCTGTTCCCGATAAGCATCATCAAACAGCCTGGTGGCTTAAAAGATTTTTTCCCTCCCATTTTCCTCATCTCCAACATCAGTAGTTTCCCTTAAGTAAAACAAGAGATGAAGTCAAATCTTGCTGAAGACACGTATTGCTGCCTACAGCTTTCTTTAAATCCACATCGTTATATACGTATCTACAGTCTCTAGGAAAGCAGGATGTGTTGAAAGGCTTAGGGGGAGAAAGTAGGTCACTATAATTCAAATGGATGATTCAGTATCTTTAAAAATGGAAGAAAAAAATTCACTAACTTGCTAATCTAAATGTTAGCCAACCAACCTCCCACCACTTACATTTTGTACTGTCTTCTTCATTAATGCCTTCCTGCTATCCTTTTCTATCCTTCTTCTATAAAAGAGAAAATGCTACATCTGGGAAATTTTAAAGCTTGCTATGCTCATACAATCACTGATGATCTGAAAGGGTACGGCAAGGTGCACGTTCCAGCACCACACTACTGGCCTGTCTTCATGTTCCCATGAGTCTCTCATACCCTCCCTATGACTGCTTAGATGGGCCCAAGTTGGGGCTTTGATTATCACAAAATGAAAACAGGATTAACTTGTGTTATGAAGACTTAAGAAAAACCAAAAAGCCTTTTTTCTAAAACAAAGAAGAACACCATACAATAGGGCATACGGATAAGTCACTTTTTAAATATTAATACCATTAAACTAAAAAATTATCAGAAGAGCTCAAGAAATTTTATATACACAATAAAAAATACACTCGATTCTCAGTTTTACATTGTTTTAGGACTATATATTTCTATATCTTAATTGCTCAATGCTGCTCACACATTCATGGTAAGTTATCACTTCTAGTTAAAAATGAAAAACATGGGGGCGCCTGGGTGGCTCAGTCATCAAGCGCCTGCCTTTAGCTCAGGTCATGATCCCAGGGTCCTGGGATTGAGCCCTGCATCAGGCACCCTGCTCAGCGGGAAACCTGCTTCTCCCTCTCCCACTGCCCCTGCTGTGTTCCCTCTCTTGCTGTCTCTCTGTCAAATAAATAAATAAAATCTTAAAAGAAAAAAAAAGAAAAACATTCCCTCAAAAGAAATGCAACAAAGACTTGAAGTTGATTTCTTCTGCCATGAAGCTTTCCTATGTCCCTACCCTAAAGGCATTCTGATTTCCTCTGCATATATACTTAGTTCATTCATTCCTCTTACTTATTTTTTTAACCTGTTATTTATATTTGTAAATGACTTATTTTGGAAATCAGAAATTATATCTTATTTATCTTAATGTCTCCTACACTGGTAGTGTATGAGACAACTGGTGAATGAACGAATAAGGCTCAAGGAGATGGTCATTTTGTGGCACCCAAAACATGTACAGAGGAGGAGGAGGTGTCCAGGAATGTGAGGCCAGGGCAGCTCTCTCCATGCTTAGTAAGGGATACAGTTTCTCAATGGCTGAAGTTAAACTGGCAAAGGGTAAGCCAGAGGAGAACATTTAAAATATTCCCACAGAGGGGCGCCTGGGTGGCTCAGTCGTTAAGTGTCTGCCTTCGGCTCAGGTCATGATCCCGGGGTCCTGGGATCGAGTCCCACATCAGGCTCCCTGCTCAGTAGGCAGCCTGCTTCTCCCTCTCCCACTCCCCCTGCTTGTGTTCCTGCTGTCACTGTCTCTCTCTCTGTCAAATAAAATCTTAAAAAAAAAAAAAACCCTTAGAAAAAATAAAATAAAATATTCCTATAGAATCTCAGGTAAGATACAACAAAAAGAAAGTGGAAAAGCAATTCTAATTTAGTGTTTTGATTTTTTTGCCCACTATTTACTGTAAAGATAAGCAAGAATGGGAGAAAGTGAGGTACCATTCTCTGAAATTCATTCTCAGTACTATATTCTTCTACCATCACTCTCCCCACCCCAACCCCCCAAAAAGGAATATAACAAAATGGCTACCTGTGCCTATCATTTTAGAACTATGGGGAAAGTAAGTGGGTGGTTAATTATAAGTCTATGTACTTACATTAGTTAGGTAACAACTAAAATCATACCTTCTTAAAATAATCATTTGTAAACTTACCATTTTCATAACTATTCTAAGTAACCCTGTCACTATTTTTCTTTCTTTTTTTCACTATTTTTAGCTATTATTTTTATTTTTTTAAAGATTTTATTTATTTATTTGAGAGAAAGAATGAGAGAGAGAGAGCACATGAGAGGGGGGAGGGTCAGAGGGAGAAGCAGACTCCCTGCCGAGCAGGGAGCCCAATGCAGGTCTCGATCCCGGGACTCCAGGATCATGACCTGAGCCGAAGGCAGTGGCTTAACCAACTGAGCCACCCAGGTGCCCGCTATTATTTTATTTTACAGTTTTCAGGGAAAGGAGGGAGGAGGTGAATATTATGAGTCGGTATATTTAAATCACTTTTTAAAATGGCTTTTTTTTTTTTTAAAGATTTTATTTATTTGACAGAGAGAGAGACAGCGAGAGAAGGAACACAAGCAAGGGAAGTGTGAGAGAGGAAGCAGGCTTCCCGCTGAGCAGGGAGATGCGGAGCTTGATCTCAGGACCCTGGGATCATGACCTGAGCCAAAGGCAGACGCTTAACAACTGAGCCACCCAGGTGCCCCCAAAATGGCTATTTTTATACTTACTTTTCCAAAATTATGTGAAGTTGATTATTTCATCTCACTGTAAAATATTACGAGCACAAAGTGACCTGTGTGCGTTCTAAAGATAAACAAACTTAAAAATTCTGAACGCTCTTGCAGCAATGTCTGTGATTTTCTAATTTCCTACTCATTAAATCAACACTCTTTAATAAATGTACATGCTCATCTAGTCAGAGAGTAGAATAACAGGAAATAACCTGGGTCAGCTGTGAAAATAGTGCTTCTGTATAGAAAATATATGTTAGTATATCATTATTTTAGAAGAAAATTCTAACAGCTGACCCAGGTTATTTCCTGTTTATTCTACTCTCTGACTAGATGAGCATGTACATTTATTAAAGAGTGTTGATTTAATGAGTAGGAAATTAGAAAATCACAGACATTGCTGCAAGAGCGTTCAGAATTTTTAAGTTTGTTTATCTTTAGAGCCAGAGAATACATGCTGATATGTAGAGAAAAAGATTTCTCCACTACAAAAATATCTAGGTGGCATTTAAAAACTCTCAACAATTATAACTCATGTAAAAATGGAAATATAATATTTATACACCTAAAACATACTGTCTTATAAAATATCATTTGATGAATATACAAACAGACCAGATACTCAACAGGAAACTAAAACATGTCACTATTTAAGTCCTTAAACTTAAGTTGCATTTAAAATAGATTTGGTTATTCTATTTCTTTTTCATTGGAAATTTAAAGGATTACTTCTTTGAACCAACAAGATACTTAGATTAATCTAGATTAATCTAATAAAAGAGAAAACAAGAGAGTTCAGGTAATAGAGAAAAGAGATATACTGGGGAGGCAAAAGTAGACACGCATAAGCTCAAAAAGAGCAAGACAGCTTAAGTATGTATTTTATATGATCTGAATCAAGCTATTTTCCCCTGAACAAAAATGTTAATTTTGGTAGGGAAGCATTCATTGGGATAAAGTAAGCAATGGATGATTACAGGAATCATTACTGGGTACACAATGGCTGTGGCTTAGTGTGTTATTTTAAATTCACTTATTAAAATGAGAACCTCTTTGGGAAATAAGAACAAATAAAAGCAAAGCACAGCATTGAAGATTTTATTAAGAAAGGTGCTAATTAAATAGCTAATAATATAAAGTCGTTAACTACTTAATGTTTTGCAATAGGCCATGGCACTCTCATCAATATTTCATTTCAAAGGTTTTACATTCCAATTCTGAGTATCATTAATGACAGCCAAAAACTAGATTCAAAATGCTTCCAAGAATTCCTATTTTCTTCTTAAACTACATCTGAAAATACAACACACAGAAAGCATAATAATCTTAAGTGGTCTAAAAGCTAGGGGTTAGCATTTTTATCTCAAAAAAAAAAATTTTTTTTTTTAAATCTCAATCATCTAGTCAAGCTAACATTTAGAAAAAGTTGGTAACCAGCTGTAAGTCTGAAAACAAAGAATATTAAAGTATTTGATACTTCCATTACCCATAGCTTGCTGAGAGATGTTACTTTCATTTGATGGAAGTCAAGAATCAAATTCATCTCAATTAATACAATGACTTTAAAGAGTTTAATGATGTGAAAACCTGGGTTATATTGTTTAAAAGCAGAATTTATAACATGAATGGAGGAAAAAGAAATTAAATGTTATTAGAATAATAAAGCAACTAGACCATGCTACTGTTGTTCCATCTTCACAAATTTAAAGCTGTGAAAATTTGTCACTGTCCTGTTTGAACCATGCTGAATTAATGACTAGTCATGGTAACCCTCAGAAGTCAGATCTGTACTCTATGGCTCAGGCTCTACCCGAGCCCTACTTGGGAGATTCAGGACAGTCAGAGACACAGTTTGGACAAAGACAATGCTGTCTAACAATAAAGTGGCCTTGACCTAAATCAACAAACAGCAAATGCTTTATCACTCATTATAAGTTTTACCTCTTGAGGAAGTTCTAGCTTAGAACGGTCAGTTCCTTCTTTTGACTGAAGGCCCATCAGATAAGGGACAGGAGCATCAAGAAAATGTAGCAGAGAAGCAGGGAGGATGGGCACATAAACATGCTGCCATTGAAATGGGAACAAAAGTGTGGTGATGCCTTCCGCCACAGTCATCAAGCGTTGATAATCTGTACAGAACAAGGAAAAAAGGAGGGGAAGATTCCAAATAAAAACATAATCACTGCATTAAGCTTGAAAATACTAATTTCCAGGAAAAAAATCTTGTTGTAATAAATAAAATGTTTCTTTATGATCATGCAGAAAATAGGTCAATTCTATCCCAGCATAATTAAAGAGTTAATGGTTTCACTTGAATGGTACTAAGGGGTATGAGTAGGTGGGAAACATCTCGTTCTTGCTTCTCAAATAACCAGTATGTAAGTTTACACTCCCTTAAAATGTGGAGGAAACAAGAACTGATAGAATTGCTCTTGGCATGTAGACCATCGAAAAGGTACCAGGATATTGCTACTGATTACATTTTGTATACATGCATATCAATGTAATTCCCAATTCAGAGGCTCTTTTTTTCTTGTATATATGATCATGGTTATCGGGATTGTATTTATTTCAGCCTTCATTTTGTGGGTCTAAGAAATCAAACAGATAAATGCATTCATAATCATACTTCCTATATTTAACCCCCAACTACATAACTATCAAATCTGGAAACAAAGTGAAAGTTACCTGAAAATTAAAGTTTGATTCTTGTTTGTGTTTTCTTCACATGAATTAATCAAAACTACAAACTGCTAACAATATATTAAAGTGCCCTCCCCATTTTATTGCAATATAATTGACATATAACACTGTATTAGTTTTAGGTATATGACATAATTATTTGATATATGTATATATTGCAAAATGATTACCACAGTAAGTTTTGTTAACATCTATTATCTCACATACTTTCAAACAAAGTGCCCTCTTAAACCACTCTGCCATAGAGGTGCTTTATACATTATTGTCTGTAAACCTCATTTAAACCTTTGGAGGCAGATGTGTTTAGAATTCATTTATTTTTTATAAAGGTAATATTGTGGGGTGCCTGGGTGGCTCAGTCGGTTAAGCAAGCATCTGCCTTCAACTCAGGTCATGATCCTGGAGTCCTGGGATCAAGCCCTGAGACCCGAGTAGGGTTCCCTGCTCAGCAGGGAGTCTGCTTCTCCCTCTCCTTCTGCTCCTCCCCCAGCTCGTGCTCTCTTTCTCACTCATTCTCTTGCTCTCTCAAATAAATAAATAAAAATCTAAAAAAAAAAAAAGGTAATATTGTGCATATACCATATACATGAAATATCTAGGGCAGCACCCTGTAATAAAACACATTAATATTTCTGCAGCAAACTTTATGAGTATCCTAATAAGACAGATAAAGAATTTAAATAGGGTCACTTTGGTTCAGGTCTGCTTTTTCAATAAATGAATTATAAAAAGAATCTTTTATTTTCTGAAATTTTTTGGATTTGAAAATTGAAGAGAAAGGATTATGGCCTTGTAATTTTCCTCTCACAGAATTCACCGGGCACAAAAACAGTAAAATCTGGGGGAGTAAGATTTTGGGGAAGTCTTTCAAAAAAGGTTAAGAAAACGATCAGATGCTATTTGGTTCACAGCAACCCAAAGAACACCTGACCAAACATAAACAGGATGTTTTCTGCTTAAAAATCTTTCTTGTGTTGTTTTATAATTTGTATACAACTACCTTTAATAGTCTACAGTGGGATTCTGGTAATGAATCATCAGCTATCCATAGCCAAGTATACTTAGAGGTTTCCTTATGTGATTCACTATTAAGACTTAAATTTTATGGGGTGCCTGGCCGGCTTAGTTGGTAGAGCATGTGATTCTTGATCTTGGGGTTGTAGACTTGCGTCCCACGTTGGGTGTAGAGATTACTTAAAAAAAATTCTTAAAAGAAAAAAAAAGACTTAAATTTTAGGTGAAAACCTGTTTATAGGAATACTTTAAAAACACAAATACCAGGGGGCCTGTGGGGTAGGGGTCAGACATAGGAACATGAATAGCTGACCAAATTACCTCAGGTGGGGACATGGACACACCTGAACATGAACACACACGTGCACACATACACACACCAGCTAGGACACACATGAACATGAACACACACACGTGTACACGTACACACACACACACACACACCAGCTGAGGCCCAGAGAAGCTGGGCTGAGACAGCTGGTACTCTGTGGAGATGGGGTGGTCAAAGGAGATCAAATAATCAGCTACCTACCACTTTGCTGGTCAACAGGCAGATGTCTGAGCTATAGGAGATGGGGTGTTTCATCACACGGGTAGGGGTGGGCAGCTGACCTGAAACCCTGAAATCTGTTGAATGTCCCTATAACTGTAGCTCTGAACTACAACAGGACTCCATAATGGCCTTGCCCTGTGGGCTTTTTTCTTCACTGTGGGCTCAGTAAGGACAGGGTGGTACCCATTTGCCCATAAAGCACAGGGCCTAATTTATTAGCAGTGCTGATCAAAATTTACTGACCACTCCCACCAAAATTTTCTTTTTGAGAGAGAGACCATGCACAAGCACATGTGCAGGGGAAGGAGCAGAGGGAGACAGAGTGAATCTCAAGCAGACTCCACGCTCAGCATAGAGCCTGATGTGGGGCTTGATCTCATGACCGTGAGATCATGACCTAAGCTGAAATCAAGAGTTGGATGCTTAACCAACTGAGCCACCCAAGCGCCCCTACTGACCAAATTTAATGATGCTACCCAATGTTATAATTTTCTCCTCTTATTGTAAAAGTCCTAACAAAACACAAAAAAATAAGGGGTAGGAAGGCATGCAGATAAACTAGGAAAAGGCCAAATTCAGGGAAATGTCTAAGATGGCTACCCATTTCAACCAAGGATTGGAGTCTTTTTTATTTTTGTAACTTTGGCACCTTATCTCAGTATCTGACATACAACAGATGTTCAAATTAAAAAAAAAAATTAAAGATTTTATTTATTTGAGAGAGAGAGAGAGAGAGAGAGAGAGAGAGGATGAGCAGGGGGAGGGGCAAAGGGAGAAGGGAAGCAGGCTCCTCGCTGAATGCGAAGCCAGAGCCTGACATGGGGCTGGATCCCAGGACCCCGAGATCATGACCTGAGCTAAAGGCAGATGCTTACTGACTGAGCCACTCAGGAGACCCTCTAAAAATATTTTTTAACAAATAAATGAATTAGTGGGATAAGACTACATAATTTTGCTGGATATCCACAACTTAAATAGACAATTGGTTAGATTTTGTCCATAAGAGACTAAAGAACTAATTTTTCAGTAGGAGAAAATGGTAACTACTCAGATGAGAAACTGCATTCAAAAATCACATTTCTTGGATATTCACACATTGAGTTAATTATCTGCATGCCCACTTATAAAGAAAATTCAAATATCCATTTACTAAGCCATGGATACTGTTCATTACACAAAGAATTTTTTACCGGGATGCCTGAGTGGCTCAGTTGGTTAATCAACTGCCTTCAGCTCAGGTCATGACCCTGGAGTCCTGGGATCGAGTCTCGCATCAGGTCCCTGCTCAGCAGGGAGTCTGCTTCTCCCTCTGACCCTCCCCCCTCTCATGCTCTATCTCATTCTCTCAAATAAATAAATAAAATCTTAAAAAAAAAATTTTTTTTACCAAGTAACTCATTCTATGTTTAAGTAAACCATGTAGGGATCAGAACTACTGTTTAGGAATAATTACCAGATCTAAACATCTTTTTCCTCCTTTATATTAAAAATGTAAAGATTTTAATAGTGAAATATGATGCAGGTTTTCCAAGGCCCTTCAGAGTAGAAAAAGGACTCTCAGGAAGCCCCCAAAGCTTTTTGGAAGTGACTAGAGAATTAAAGCACATTGTTGCTCTACCAGGAAGATGTATTCCACATGTCACTCCTGAGGTTTGAGGAAAACAGAGCTCATTGAAAAATTAAGAGAAAGGAAAAAAAAAATTGAGAAAGAAAAAATTAACTTCACAGCCACCTTATTTATATATTTTACGATTCGACTGTATTCAAAATGTATAGTATGTACTATGTAGAAGGGCTGTTAGAAAAATAACTTGATTGTTCTGGTATTTATGTGCTAACTTTTAAAAATTGCTAATCGTCAGGGTCCCTGGCTGGCTTAGTCAGAAGGGCATGCAACTCTTCACTTTGGGATGGTGAATTTGTGACCCACGTTGGGTATAGAGATTACTTAATAAAAATGTAAAAAAATAAAATAAATAAAAATTGCTTTAGTTTTACTGTGGGTTTCTACAGTTTTATTGTCATAAAAAGTTATAAACTATTATTGGGGTTTTTTGGGACTGCTGAAGATTAGTTTTCTAAGACAATCACTTCCTTAAAATTAAAGTCAATGTTTCTCATTTAACTAGTTTCTTTAGGGAAAAAAAAAAGCAGTAACACTAAAATCTAGGTTTTAAAAAAGAATTAGTTTTTACACAACATTAAATGGGAAAAAAAACTACTTAAAACTACTTAAGTAATTTAATGTAGGGGGATATTCTTCCTTCAATCCCTTACCCATTTCTAATTTATGAATACCTTACTTAAGAATAATGTTTGTTTGAAGATTTTACCTACTTGAGAGAGAGAGAGAGAGAGAGAGAGAGAGAGAGAGAGAGTACCCGCACACACAAGTGGGGGGAGGGGGGGGGGGGAAGAGGGAGAGGGAGAAGCGGGCTCCCCACTGAGCAGGGAGCCTGGGGTGGGGGGTGGGGGTACTGAGATCATGACCTGAGCCAAAGGCAGCCGCTTAACCAATGGAGCCACCCAGGTGCCCCTAAGAATAATTTTTTTTTTTTTAAGATTTTATTTATTTGAGAGAGAGAGAACGAGTCGGGGGCAGAGGCAGAGGGAGGGGGAGAAGCTGACTCCTTGCTGAGCAGGGAGCCCGATGCGGGACTCGATACCAGGATCCAATCCCAGGACCCTGGGATCATGACCTGAGCTGAAGGCAGATGCTTAACTGACTGAGCCACCCAGGAGCCCCAAGAATAATGTTTTTAAGGGGTGCCTGGGTGGCTCCATCTGTTAAGCGTCCAATTCTTGGTTTGATCTCGTGGGTTGTGGACTCCTCGCTCAACAGGGAGTCTGCTTGAAAGA